GCTTAGTGTTATTGTAAAGTATGCAAAATGCAGTAGATTTTGCAACTCTATCAGTTGATAGAGTCGCAAGTTTTTAGGCATTAGGTACTTAGGTATGTAAGTATGTATTTCATTTCAATGTCCATGTAGGTACTTCTTATCTACACCTTGTATTCTAGACTCTACCAACTTAGCTTAGCAGTTCCACTGAGCAAGTAAGCTCCTTACTTATTTTATTCGTTATCAACAGAAAATTCATTCCAGGAATCCTTTACAGGATTTCGCTGACACCGTAGTCTTGGTTATATCGATTATTGCTTACACACAAAATACCTAGTAAGTACACGTACGGCATTGATTTTCGTGCACGAACATGACTCGTATTACTTACTCGTGAGAAAGTGATGACGGAGCGAATGATAATTTAAATAGTAATTGTATCGTTAAGTATTAGGTACTAGAATTACATTTAATTGTAAACAAGAGTGACTTATTAAAGCCAATAACATAGGTTTAAATACCTACTGGCCACTCATGCGAGACGCTTCGTCCCTACGCATTTCGGAGTGGTCAGGCGAGGTGTGACAAAACTTTCTCCGGCCACTGCGCTATATTTCTGAACAAGATCCATGCTTGCTGCATTAAATATTATTCACGTTACAGAGCCATTTTATATTGGTTTTAAAGTTATACTTATCAAAATCGGTTTAGCAAACACGATTCAGGCGTTACTGACTTACAACTCGGTATTTTTAATCAGTACTTGAATAGTTAAATTATTGTTTGTGATAAGACTTAGGCCTCAGCCTCGAACTTAGCGGGAAGCGGGGCGGCGGCGGCGGCGGCGCGGGAGCGGCAGGATCTTATGCGTAAAATCAAATAGACCGGTTCTCGAAAACAGCGGCGCGGCAGCGGCGCCGGAGCGGGCAACGAGCGGGCAGCGGCGAGGGAGCGGGCAACGAGCGGGCAGCGCACTCCTTCTTTTGCCCACAATAAATCGAGCGTTAGGAATAAATTTGAATCGAAATAAAATTGTCGCCGTTGTTCAGACATTTCGTTTGCGAATAAAAACAAATATCTCGACAACACAACCCCGAACACAACACTTCGCCGCTAAAGCGCCGCGCGAGCTGCCCGCTTGTTTCGAGAACGGGTCTGCGTTGCCCGCCCCGCTCCAGCGCCGCCGCCGCTCCCGCCCCGCTGCCCGCTAAGTTCGAGGCTGAGGCCTTAGGCATGTATATTTTGCTTGTGCTTAATTTCATAATAACTAATTCGTTTATAATTTTACGTATATTTGTCGATACTTACTTATTTTAGTCGACTGATTATGCGAACTTCTAGGCCGCCACTAGATGTCGCTTGCTAGCTAACTGTCGATGACCATCGATTAGCACCTAAATTGTTAGATTCCTCTCTATACACTACCTTTATCCAAAATTATTGACCTGCATTAAAAAACTAAGGGTGATTTTATGATACGGTAGTAGACCTTAGTTCGGTTCGGCCAAGGGGTATGGAACTACGTAATAAATACAAAACACATGAAGTAACTGGAATTTATTTATTTTACAAAACAAACGCAGTAGTAGTCACAAGTAGTCGTTAATTGCAACTAGAAATGCAAGCAGCCTTCTGTTAATATGTATTAATTACAGTTTAATTACATTACTGTTTGTTGCTTCTGATTATATTACATCGGCCGCATTTTCGGCGCAACTAAGAAAATCCAGTATCCGTTCAAAAACAAATCTATTTCGTGTCGCTCACATCACTAAAACAACAAAATCCCTTTAAGTCTTAAAGGTAATAATTAAAATATATTTCACATAAAACTGACTAAAAACTCAACAATCTACAAGTATGGGCTTATTTACTGGGCTCGGCTCCGGTGGGTATGCTGGCGGGCGGCGGCGTCGTCGGGTTCTTCTCTTTGTTCCAATCCTTCAGGCCTTCGGGCAGCGTCGTGTCCTCTTCAAGGGACCCGGTGCCTTCGACGAACTCCTCGTAAGTACTCTTCTCAGGGAACGGCCTCGGGCCCAGCAGCTCGATCATGTCCTCCCGACTCAAAATCTCCTGCTTCAACAGCCTCTGGGCGACCTTTTCAATATTGTCTTTGTGCTTCGTCAGCAGTTCTGTGGTAAACCTGTGCGCTGTGCCGATTAGATCTCTGACTTCCGAGTCGATGAGCTCGGCGGTTTTCTCCGAGTACGGTTTGTCGACGACCATTTCACCGGGCTGGGGCATCTCAAAGGAGACGTTACCGACCTTCGTGTTCATACCGTAATGGACGATTTGTGCGTAGGCGCTCTGGGTGATCTTCTTCAAGTCGTCCTGCGCGCCGGTCGTGATTCTTCCGAAGAAGATTTCCTCGCTGACCCTGCCGCCGAGGGTCATGCACATTCTGTCGAACAGCTGCTCCTTGCTGTAGAGATACTGTTCCTTGGGTAGGTACTGGGCGTATCCGAGGCCTTTTCCGCGGGGGATGATGGACACTTTGAGGAGGGGGTCGGCGTGCTGGAGGAACCAGCCGGCGACCGCGTGTCCGGCCTCGTGGTAGGCGACGATCTTGCGCTCGTCGGGCTGTAAGACGTTGGACTTCTTCTCCATGCCGGCCACGACTCGCTCGATGGCCTGCTCGAAGTTCTTCATGGTGATGTCGAGCGCCAGCTCTCGGGCTGCGATGAGCGCCGCCTCGTTGCACACGTTGGCAATGTCTGCACCAGTGAAACCTGAAACATTGGCATTTTGAAAGTTAATTATTTTGTTGCATTAACCATTCCAACGCAACCTGGTTTTGAGTGAGAGATAAAATTGATTGAAGAAGAATTTTGAAAGAGAAAATTAATTAGAAATAAATGGGAAAGATAAGCTTGTTGTTAATTTACTAGTACAAGATGGACTTGATGATCTTTACCTTTTAATCAACTTAAGCAACATTTTATTTCTGCTTGCTGTATTTTTTTTTAAATCTGTAAACTAAATAATTATTTACCTGGAGTTAATGCAGCCATTTTACGTGCTAGATTATCTTTATTCAAGGAAGTTTTAAGTGGTGACAAATGCACTTTGAAAATGGAAGCTCTGCCCTTGATATCCGGAGCGGGAACGAAGATCTGTCTGTCAAATCTGCCAGGACGTAACAGAGCTTTGTCCAAGATATCAACTCTGTTGGTTGCAGCTAGAACCACAACATTGGTTGTTGTGTTGAAACCATCCATTTCAACTAGAAGCTGGTTCAATGTATTTTCCTGCTCAGAATGCCCACCAAAACTACGTCCACCACGTTTTCTACCAACAGCATCGATTTCATCTATGAACAAAATGCAAGGGGCATGTTTGCGGGCCATTGAGAACATGTCTCTCACTCTAGATGGACCGACACCTACAAACATTTCCAAAAACTCTGATCCTGACACAGTAATGAAGGGTACATTGGCCTCTCCTGCTGTGGCTTTGGCTAACAAAGTCTTTCCAGTACCAGGGGGGCCAGTCAGGAGAGCTCCCTTAGGGATTTTGGCTCCCAAATCAATGTACTGCTGAGGATTCTTTAGGAAGTTTACAAATTCCATAATCTCAATTTTAGCCTCCTCACAACCAGCCACATCTTGGAATTTAACTCCAATGTCTGTGGGGTTTATTAACTTGGCTGTTGACTCCATCACACCACCAAACAGCCCACCGCCTTTCCGGCCACCACGGCCCATCATATCTGCTGATCTTCTCATCATGTATATCAAAAATCCTATGATTAACAGAGTGGGGAGCATGCCAGTCAAACTGGACGCTTCCACCTCAGTTTTATAAATAACAGGAATAAAGTTAGGAGGGTCAATACTCATCTCTATTTGTGCATTCTCCAGGTTCCTTTCAAAAGAATCGACACTTCCAATGGCGAACCAAATCACTTTGCTTTCTAATGCTGATCCAGGTTGTAGCTTAACACGCACCCATTTCTTATTGATAACCTCAAGTTTTTCTACTGCTCCCTTATTTAGATATAAATTAACGAAGTCTCGCCAGCTTATTTCTCTATATCTTAGTTCGAAGTAGGCGATAGAGGCTAGAAGGGTCACCACTCCCATCGCGCCGAACATCATCCATTTCTCCCTGTCCTGGCCCTCGTACCCGCCGCGGCCGCCGCCTCCTCTCCCGCCCCCTGTGTTTGAAAACATGTTCATGTTCCATTTGTCTGCGGAGGACGACGGCTTGGAAGCCGCAGGCGAGCTTTTAGACGGCGCAGGCGCGCCATCCTTCTCTGGTAGTTTCTGCTGTTTCTGACTGGTGCCAGGCTGGAAATACTTTTCAAAACCTTTAGGCGGCTTCTTACAAAACTCGTACCATTGGTTTAATACTGTATCTAAAGCTGGAACACCGATCGCCTGCAGTTTGTGTCCCTTGAAATGTATTTTCGATAATTGAGTCTGTGTCAATCTGAGGCCCTTCCACATCCTGAATCTGTGTGTTTTATTTACAATAAATGAATATTAATCTATATATTGCACAATCGCACTGAGAATTGTATCACAAAAAATCATCAAGAAACTATGACAAACATGGTTAGAAAAATTGTCAAATTTGATTTGACAGTCATGACTTTTTTCCAGCAGTAGTGCCGCGCTCACAAAATTTTTGGATTTTGGTCGTCTACATTTGAAAGTTCAAATGATCGAGATTTCCTTTTTAATTAAGATTTCAATTAAGTAAAACGTGAAGCTGAAACTACCCAGTTTCATAATTTTCTTGGTTTTCTGCTAATTAACAGAGTATTAACAATTTTTGGAAATGTAAAACTAAAAAACTCCGTCTGACATGGAGGTACCGTCTGATTTTGAAATCCTTTAAAAAATTTACGACACCAAATCAACTGAAAGTGTAAACATAAATAATTTCAAATAAAGCAGGTATGGGCTGTGCTTTTTAGAAATATCAAAATGTGCAAGCAAGTGTATTATTTATTTTGTTATCAACACTATTTTTGAACGAAAAGCTGTCAGACATTTTCGTTTCACAGACAGGTAAATAAATGACAAAAATTTCACTTTGCACTTTTTGTTCTTTACCTCGGTTTTCTTGACCTCATAAGTATCCAAATTTTAAGCTAAGTGTATAAATAATATTAGTCTTCGTATTACGCTTCAGTGAAGTGAGTGGTTATAGATATATTGCAGTATAAACGACATGGACCCCGAAAGACCTGAGAGCAGTTCGAACCATGGAAAGAGGACACGACCTTTACTCCTGCAGCCAAGTCCGAAGGTGGCTAGGGTGTCAGCGTACGCGAGCACGTCCTCCAGTGGGGTCCTGAAGGGTTCTAAGAAGATAACGCCTAAGAAAACGAAGATTACATATGATAACAATGATGTGCCTGCACCTGGGACCCCAGTGCCTGATAAACACGTTCGTAAGGCTGGCCCTTACCTACTGGGCCCCAAGCTTGGCCCCAGCCCTGTCAAGAGCATAGTTCAGTGTCTAGCCAGGAAGGAGAGGACAGATGACTTCTATCAGGTTAGTAAAATGTGATCTAAATAGTATTCTATTTCCTATTACTGTTTCTAATATTGTGAAATTGAATTGCAATAACTTGATGACAAATTTTGAACATAAACTGTATTATGAACTGCTCATACTGTGCTTAACATCTAATCTATCCAATCCAAAGTAAATTTTTAGTAGAGGCACAATAAAATAAATATGCAAATTTTATCGAGTGATGTACATTGAGTTTAACACTGCGCCATCTTATGTTATAATAGGTGTTATCTTGCAACAAATTATGTTAACATTGTAGTTTGATATAATTTTACCATAATATCATATTGATGCTTATTTAATTTGTATTTTTATTACCATGTTATCCCAATGCAACTAATGTTACTCGTTTTAATTTTAGGTAAAAATTCTAACACTAAAGAATGAAGGTCAAGCTGAAACCCAAGATGACAGGCAGGGTAAGATGCTCCTCCACACTGAGTATTCCCTGCTGTCTCTGCTGAAGGACCAGGACGGTGTCATACATCACCATGGCCTTTTCAAAGTGAGTACACAGTAGTAAGATAATATAGAGTAATACAGTTGTAAGATCTTTGCGACTGTAATTTATTTAGTGAATTTGAATCAGTTGCCTTTGCATTTATTGCTGTGCTTTTATCTAATCCTTGTGTTTGAATATCATAAGTCTATTTGCTAAGAATAATTTATGGTAGCAGTAACATATACAGGGTGTCCCGTAATGTAACGTCAAGCCGGAACTGGGTGTTGAGGCAAGTTGTGCTGGTTATCAGAAAAATATAAAAAAAAATCTATGTGGCATATTTTAAAAATAATAGGCATTTAAAAAAAATCAAAAAATTCTATTCCAAGTGACGGTCCTTTTACTCGTGTTGCCACAAATCTTCACTTTTTCCAAATTTTTTTTTTGTTATGTAACCCTGAATAATGCTTCTCTAAATTGTTATCAAAATTACAAAACCAGCTGCTCCAGCTTGGATGAAAAAAATACATTATTCTCAAAAAAAATTTCAAAATAAAAATTTTGCCTAGTTTAAGCTGACTGTACTGAAAAAAAAATGTACTACGCGAGTGTGGCAAGTGACGTCATAATTTGGCGCATTTGGTTACGGTTACGGATATCCATAACATCCCTGCTAAGATGGCCCTCTCCGTCCCGCTCATACCTTTTAAAATGGCTTCTCCACCTCACTTAAGCCAGAAACTTAAATTTTGAGCACATTAGAATAATAATTTTAACCAAGGTAAATAAAGTTGAAAACGGGACTATTTCCAAAAAACCAAAAATTGTCGACAATTATAGCAAAAATTTACCAAGTGTTATACCATTTTGGAATCCTTACTAAATGCGCCAAATTATGACGTCACTTGCCACACTCGCGTAGTACATTTTTTTTTCAGTACAGTCAGTTTAAACTAGGCAAAGTTTTTATTTTGAAATTTTTTTTGAGAATAATGTATTTTTTACATCCAAGCTGGAGCAGCTGGTTTTGTAATTTTGATAACAATTTAGAGAAGCATTATTCAGGGTTACATAACAAAAAAAAAAATTTGGAAAAAGTGAAGATTTGTGGCAACACGAGCAAAAGGACCGTCACCTGGAGTAGAATTTTTTGATTTTTTTTAAATGCCTATTATTTTTAAAATATGCCACATAGATTTTTTTTTATATTTTTCTGATAACCAGCACAACTTGCCTCAACACCCAGTTCCGGCTTGACGTTACATTACGGGACACCCTGTAGAATGCATTTTATAGTCAGTATCTTTAGACAGTCAGTATTTTTATCCCTAATTAGAGATTAGTAAGGTTTAAGAATGTTATTGTTTTCTTCATCCACTGAATCTATTTTGCATCTTGAATAAAAATATACATAATTAAAGTGATAATAAAAACCCTAGGTCCCTAAACCTAAATTTTGTCTATACTGTTTTGTGCAAATTATTGATTTATAGCTGAACTTGTTACTATGTACCTGGTATTTTACTCCCTCCCTTTTCATTTCCAGGATCATGCATTAGAAGAAATACCCAACCCCAATGGTCCAGGGTTCATATACACTGGAAGAGTCAGGCAACGGTTATTCCTTGTGTTAGACTGTGTAACGTCACATCAGTTCAGTGAAAAGGCCTCCGAACTGATCAACTTGCAGCAGTACGTCACCAAAGTCAAAAAAGTTCCAGAAAAAGAGGCCATATTGATATTCTATGATATTGTTAGGGTTGTTACTAATTTACATAAGGTAAGATTTAAAAATGTATTTTTAATACTTAAATTTATGATCCTACTTATTAAGTAACTAGCTTTCCGCCCGCGGCTTTGCCCGCGTGGAATTTTGTCTGTCACAGAAAAACTTTATCGCGCGCGTCCCTGTTTCAAAAACCGGGATAAAAACTATCCTATGTTCTTTCCCGGGACTCAAACTATCTCTATGCCAAATTTCATCAAAATCGGTTGCGAGGTTTAAGCGGGAAAGCATAACAGACAGACAGACAGAGTTACTTTCGCATTTATAATATTAGTTGGGATGCCAGTTTTCACCATCAATCACTAATTTTTAAGTGACCCCTATGGTAACACATAACAGAAATTTTGTTTCAAAAGGGCAAGGTTCGAAAATATCCGATATTTATTATAAATATCAAAATATCGGATATTTATGATATACAGGGTGTTTGGCGCATCGTGTGCCAAAATGATTTGGCGGATAGAATGGGTCATTTCCTATATTTTCAGCCCCCATAACACGTTCCATGCCAGGCGGCTACTTTTAAATTAATGTTTTTAGTAATTTCACCAAAATACCCAAATCGCATCATTTAATTTCGATTTAAAAAAAAACTACTAGGCGCAGCTCTAAAGTAAATATTTTGTTTTGACGTGCATTAATGTAGGGTTGCATCAGATCTAAATTTACTGGCAAATATCATCTACTTTTTTTTAAATTCAGCTTTGAAGTTTTCCGAAAAGTTAAAAATGGACTGAACAAAAGGGGCTATAAACACAAATTTCGCAAATCAGTCCGAGTAGAGTCAATGCACTAATTTAAGAAATTTGTGAAGTTGTTGTTATTATTTAAACAAGATTAGTATACCGTTTGAATGAGGATAGACTAGAGAAGTTTTGATAAAATCCGAAGATCGCTACCTCTTTTAAAAAAAAATTTATACCTATGTAAACTTAAATGTTCAGTCCATTTTTAACTTTTCGGAAAACTTCAAAGCTGAATTTAAAAAAAAGTAGATGATATTTTCCAGTAAATTTAGATTTGATGCAACCCTACATTAATGCACGTCAAAACAAAATATTTACTTTAGGGCTGCGCCTAGTAGTTTTTTTTTAAATCGAAATTAAATGATGCGATTTGGGTATTTTGGTGAAATTACTAAAAAAATTAATATAAAAGTAGCCGCCTGGCATGGAACGTGTTATGGGGGCTGAAAATATAGGAAATGACCCATTCTATCCGCCAAATCATTTTGGCACACGATGCGCCAAACACCCTGTATATCCGATATATATCAACTTTGATATATATCAATTTTGTATGATAAAAAAGACAAAATTTTGTATGACAAAGCCATAGTATTATTTTATTGTATTATTCATGAATACTATTGCATATGTGTTACATAAACATGTTTTTAATGTTTTTAAAACTTAAAATCAGACAAATAAAGCAAAAACATAAAATATCTTTGAAATACGGCAAAATCAACTGAGAAAATAAAAATCTTATGTCAAAAAGTACAAATACAGTAACAAATTTTAAAAGTTGATATATATCATCAAAACCGGCTTGATATATATCGGATATATATCTGATATATATCTTGATATAGTATATCCCTTGATATATATCCGGGTCACTTAAAAATTAGGGATTGATGGTAAAAACGGGCATAAGTCTTCCGCGAGTATACACGCGCCCTGTCGAGCGCAAAGTGCAAATGAAAAATGTAAATCCTCTATGAAAGAACCTTTATGAAACTGCTTCATTTTGTTTTACTTACTTTAAATAGTGACTGAGTTTCTTGCGCTGCTTCTTCTCAGCACTGGCCCATTTATTGTCCTGAAGCAGTGGTAGGGTTAATACTGGGACGTGTAAAAGTGCTTTTTTAAGCCTATTTACAGAAATACATGAGTTTTAATGAGTTTTTAAACTTTATTGCAGACAATACTACTTAAAATTTACTTAAACACTTCTTCTTTTCTTGTCGACATCAAACCTACACAGTGTCAGCCCAAAACTCTGCCACAAGAGTGGCGTTGTCAGCAGCACTCATCAAATCCTCCTGAGTGCAGTTGCTTGGTCACTCAGGGCACGACATCAAGTCATATGATCAATACTTACTTTAAACTTTAGGGGCCTTCCATAAAGTACGTCACACGAATTTCATGACCCCCCTCCGTCCTTGTCACAGGTGGTCACATTTCTGATACCCCCCCCTCCCTAGTGTGACGTCACATGTTTTGCAATTTCACATCGAAAAATTATTAAATTAACAGCAGTTCCGACCCCTCCCACCCCTTGTCACACCATGTCACACTTTACAACCCCCTCCCCCCCTCTTTACGTGTGACGTACTTTATGGATGACCCCTTATAGTACAAAATGTTCCAGAGAAACATAGTGCACCGAGACCTGAAGCTCGGCAACATAGTGCTGAACCAGCGCACCGGCCGCGTCACCATCGCCAACTTCTGCCTCGGCACGCACCTGGGCAGCGACCGCGACCTGCTCAAGGACCAGCGAGGTACAAGACTGTTTATGTAAACTATACTCAACATCAAATAAACCGCAACTTCCACGACGTGAACTTTAAAGATTTTCTTCTGACACAATCATGGTGCCCCAACAATTTTGGTGTTATTTGAAAGCCCAATAAATAAACTTAAAGAAAAACACATTTAATTTCTTAATAAACGTTTAACATAAACTATAAATGTGACTTGAAAAATAACCTCACTTGGGGCTCACCTCTGGGATCAATTAGACCAATTTTTATGGTTATGAAAACAAATAATGATCTCACGTGTCCTCTTTAACAGATGGATAGCGATTAATCCCAACTTAACAGTTTTATAGCCATAAAAGTTGGCTCTAGCGTAACTACCTATTTTTTGAAGAAGTGTCTCCGGATCCTTCTAAAGACACTTTTTTGTGGTAAAAACCTTTGCTTTAATGAAACGAAGCTTAGAACTAGGCTTTTAAATGATGCCAATATTGGTGGGAAGTCGGGATGCATACGTTTGAAAGTGCTTGTCGCGGGAGGTGCGATTTATTTGATGTCGAGTGTATTTCCTGATGGTTAATGGACAAATAGTGCAAATCATCAGGTCATTAAGTCTCTACCGCAGGAACATGATTCTCTGTAATGTTTAAGTACGTTTGGTGTAGTGGTTCGAAACGGACTACTAGCTATTCCTGAGGTAGCGGGTTCGATTCCCGCACAGTACAAACATTGGTGTGCATGAACATATTTGTTTGTATTGGACTGGGTGTTTTCTATGTATAATAAGTATGTATGTATTTACAAAAAAAAAGTATTTAAGTACGTTTATATTCGTTGTCTAGTACCCATAGTACATGCTTTGCTTAGTTTGGGACTAGAAGCGCAGTGTAAAATGTCTAAGGATATTTATATTTACCAAACGCTTGTAATTCGCATACTTGTCTTCTGAACGCCTTTTACGACGTTCGCGTGAAGAGTGGGAGTGAACCTATTCTACTCTTCTAAAACCGTACGGCAAACAGCGCCGACCTTGGTACAACTGGCAGCCCTGGCCATTTGAGGACTAAGTAGGCTTTTTTCTCTAAAAAAGCAAAAATGTGGTCATTGCTTCTTTGACAGGTTTCTGTTTAAATTATTTTTCAGATTAAATGGGGTGCCCTTTGATTGCGGGGTTTTGGGCACGAGCCCAGTCTGTCAGTGGGGCAGTGCGGCTCGACTTTTAGCCTAGGCGCAAACCACCGATTTCTAGTCGGCCGATAGTTGGGCCCAATTCTGATTTGTATGAAAAATCAATCGGTGTAATGTGCGCACTTCCATACATGCCCATACTGATTAACTGCCCGATTAAACTATCGACCGACAATAGGCTAGTTTCCTAAAAAAATTTTTTAGTCCGTCATGTTTAATATCAAAAAATATTGGTCACATATATTTTTATTTGTCAATCTAACAAATAATTACATAGTTATGGTGCGTTGAAGTTCCGCACGACGTCACAACGTGCGGCACTTTTATGCACGCATTGACGTCACGGGCCTCTTCTTATTAACTTTGGCGCGCTTTATCTTTAAATTTTCATTAGTTTGAAAAAGTGAAAAATACGTGTAGAGTATTTTTTGATAAGTTAACTGATGGACTAATTAAAACTCTTGCTTTTTGACCCAGGAAACATCCCTATTGTCCCCAGGCTCCCCCGCCTACATATCGCCCGACGTCCTGCTGTGCAAGCCGTACCTGGGCAAGCCGTCGGACATGTGGGCGCTGGGCGTGGTGCTGTACACCATGCTGTACGGCCAGTTCCCGTTCTGCGACACCAGCCTCACGCAGCTCTTCAGCCGCATACAGGCCGCCAACTACAACATACCGCCGTGAGTGACCGCAGGCTCCTCGCCTATATCCATTCCCACGATCCCTGCCTTCATCCATCCTCAGAATCCCCGCCTAGATTCATCCCCAGCTCCTTGCCTAAATTCATCCCCGGGCTCCTCGCCTATATTCATTCCCGGGCTCCTCGCCTATATTCATCTCCAGCTCTTTGCCTAAATTCATTCCCGGGCTCCTCGCCTACATCCGTCCCCAGGCTCCCCGTCTATATTCATTCCCGGGCTCCTCGCCTACATTCATTCCCGGGTTCCTCGCCTACATTCATCCCCGGGCTCCTCGCCTATATTCATCCCCGGGCTCCTCGCCTATATTCATCCCCGGGCTCCTCGCCTATATTCATCCCCGGGCTCCTCGCCTATATTCATCCCCGGGCTCCTCGCCTATATTCATCCCCGGGCTCCTCGCCTATATTCATCCCCGGGCTCCTCGCCTATATTCATCCCCGGGCTCCTCGCCTATATTCATCCCCGGGCTCCTCGCCTATATTCATCCCCGGGCTCCTCGCCTATATTCATCCCCGGGCTCCTCGCCTATATTCATCCCCGGGCTCCTCGCCTATATTCATCCCCGGGCTCCTCGCCTATATTCATCCCCGGGCTCCTCGCCTATATTCATCCCCGGGCTCCTCGCCTATATTCATCCCCGGGCTCCTCGCCTATATTCATCCCCGGGCTCCTCGCCTATATTCATCCCCGGGCTCCTCGCCTATATTCATCCCCGGGCTCCTCGCCTATATTCATCCCCGGGCTCCTCGCCTATATTCATCCCCGGGCTCCTCGCCTATATTCATCCCCGGGCTCCTCGCCTATATTCATCCCCGGGCTCCTCGCCTATATTCATCCCCGGGCTCCTCGCCTATATTCATCCCCGGGCTCCTCGCCTATATTCATCCCCGGGCTCCTCGCCTATATTCATCCCCGGGCTCCTCGCCTATATTCATCCCCGGGCTCCTCGCCTATATTCATCCCCGGGCTCCTCGCCTATATTCATCCCCGGGCTCCTCGCCTATATTCATCCCCGGGCTCCTCGCCTATATTCATCCCCGGGCTCCTCGCCTATATTCATCCCCGGGCTCTTCGCCTATATTCATCCCCGGGCTCCTCGCCTATATTCATCCCCGGGCTCCTCGCCTATATTCATTCCCGGGCTCCTCGCCTACATCCGTCCCCAGGCTCCCCGCCTATATCCGTCCCCTGGCTCCCCTCCTACATCCATCTCCAATCTCCCGCCTACATTCATCTCCAAACTCTCCGCCTGCATCCATTTTCCCCGCCTATTAGATCCAAGCAGCTTCCAACTGGCCAATCTAAGAATCATTAGGTGTTCAGCCATAGACGTCTTTTGTTTTAAACGAAAAACCGAAAACAAACTTAAAATCGGACATGTAAGTTCTGATCTTTTAATTTATTTTCAGGGATGGCAACTCAGTGCAAGTGTCAGACAATACGGTATTCCTTATCCAGAGGCTCCTAGTAAAAGATCCAAAGCATAGATTGTTGGCAGAAGAGGTAAGTTATTCGTTTTCAAATCGTTAGCATTTTTCACTTCGTACGCGTGGACCTCGTAAAATCTGTTGTTGGATATTATGTTGATAGATGGCGTTTCACGGCTCCCCCGCATGAATATTTACGAACGTCAAAAACAGTAGTTTGTCCAGCGCTGTAGATTTTAACCAATGACGATAGATGGCGCTTTTTAGACACGTCTTTTTTATTTGTTGAAATTTATTTGTCACATATCGTCATAAATTATAGCCTATATGTTAATCTGGGTTATAAACAATAATACTGTAAGGTTTCAACAAAATCCGTTCAGTAGTTTTTGCGTGAAAGAGTAACAGACATCCAAACATCATGACATCCAGACATCCAAACTTTCGCATTTATTATATTAGTACGATTAGTAAGATAAGAAGTAAGAAGAAAACTAAGACAATTTATTTATTAAAACAACTAATATATTTGTAGGTGCTAGACCAGCTCTCCAGCATCATAGCAGCATACGTAGTTGTCCCCAATCCCCCCGAGGACCTACAAGTGGTCCCCGACATCCCCTTAGACGAGGAGCCCAAGGACAAAAAAGAGCAGTCGAATGAATTGGACAAGAAACCGTTTGTGAACATCCCCGAGAGTAATGAAAGGACACCGAGTGCTACTGTGAGTATGAAGGTCTTCATAAGTAAGCAATCCAATCCTCTTAACTCCGACTACCTCATAAAGGTAGCAGAAAGGTGCTGGATGCAGTGCGCTACCAACTTGGCGATGTGGAAATCATTCGAGGAGGCCTATCAGTGGACGTCCTGTGGCTGAAATGAAGATGAATCCTCTTAATTTTTCAGAGGCAAATAAAGATTGGGGAGCCCTGATGTTCGTATATAATGTCCCTTAGGCTTTTATAACATCTAGGGTGAGTGGGCAATTTTACTCTGCCGGCACAATATGGCTTCACGACTTACGAGTATTTTATCTTTTACGATCACGGGAGGACACGGTCGTGAGGGTATATTTTGATATGTCTAAGCTATGAGAGACACTTATTGCGGCTCATTTTCGTTACACCATATAACACTTGATTTATTAATTGAAGTATGTCATAATAGGCTAGTTTCTTAAAAAAATTTTTTTAGTCCGTCATGTTTAATATCAAAAAATATTTTTATTTGTCAATCTAACAAATAATTACATAGTTATGGTGCGTTGAAGTTCCGCACGACGTCACAACGTGCGGCACTTTTATGCAAGCATTGACATCACGGGCCTCTTCTTATGAACTTTGGCGCGCTTTATCTTTTTAAATTTTAATTAGTTTGAAAAAGTGAAAAATACGTGCAGAGTATTTTTTGATAAGTTAACTGACGGACTAATTAAAACTCTTGCTTTTTGACCCAGGAAACATCCCTATTATGTAATTTAAGTGTATTTTTCCACCTCCAGGAAGACCTAGGCGTGTTCTGCGTGCCTCTGCCGGACTTCCTCGCGCTAAACTTCCCGCCGCCGCGCCCCGCGCCGCCCGCGCCCGCGCCCGCCGCCGCGCCCCGCCAGCTCGCCGTGCAGAGGGTTGGGAGGGACGCGAGGCCATTGTTACCCTGCGAGATAGCCAGGTGAGACTGGTGACGCCAGTAGGTGAGGTGCTCCCACAGGCAACCACTGGCGTCACACCAAGATTTAGGCGTTCACTAACGTCACGCCAAGTCTTAGGAGTATATTTCCCGCCGCGCTCGCCAACACGCCCCGCCAGCTCGCCGTGCAGAGGGTCGGCAGGGACGCGCGGCCTTTGTTGCCTTGTGAGATAGCCAGGTAGGATAATGGTGACACCCCTACCTGCTGACGTCACGCCACATCACCGCGCAAAAGGTAGGGACAGACGCGTGATCGCTACTGATCGGTACGGAGGCACCCTAACCGATGACGTCACACTAAATTACCGTGCAGAGAGTAGAAACAAATGCACTTCCACTGCTGCCTTGCGAGATAGTCAGGTGACAGATTAAAGCGACTAGAGTATGGAAACACTCCACCTGGCTGTCCGTACACAAGGTGGAGAAAGACGCGCGCCTGTTGTTACCTATGGAATCGCTAAGTAAGTAAGTAAGGGAGTATTTTAGAACACTTGGGTTATAGGAGCACCCCACCTGCTGACGTCACACAAAATCACCAAGCAGTAGATGGACATAGATGCACGCTTGTTGCTTTACCAGATAAGGTAAAGGGATTAAAACGTCTGAGGTACTTAGACGCTCCGCCTGATGACGTCATGCTAAATCACCGGGCGTATTCTGCGTGCCTCTGCCGGACTTCTTAGCGCTAAACTTCCCGCCGCCGCGCCCCGCGCCGCCCGCGCCCGCGCCCGCCGCCGCGCCCCGCCAGCTCGCCGTGCAGAGGGTCGGGAGGGATGCGCGGCCATTGTTACCTTGCGAGATAGCCAGGTGAGAGAGAATAACGAGTCCATAACGTGACGTCAGTAGGTGAGGTGCTCCCACAGGCAACCACTAACGTCACATCAAGACTTAGGAATATATTTCCCGCCACGCTCGCCAACACGCCCCGCCAGCTCGCCGTGCAGAGGGTTGGGAGGGACGCGAGGCCATTGTTACCTTGCGAGATAGCCAGGTGAGACTGGTGACACCCCTACCTGCTGACGTCACGCCACATCACCGCGCAAATCGCCAGGTGCTGAATTAGAACGACTGAGGGTACGAAGGCACCCTAACCGATGACGTCACACTAAATTACCGTGCAGATAGTAGACTAAAATGCACTTTTGCTGCTGCCTTGCGAGATAGTCAGGTGATGGAAACACCCCACTCACGTCGCTACGCTAAATTACCGTACACAAGGTGGAGAAAAACGCGCGTCTGTTGTTACCTATGAAATCGCTAATTAAGTGAGTATTTTAGAACATTTGGGTTATAGGAGCACCCCACCTGCTGATGTCACACAAAATCACCGAGCAGAAGGTTGAGATAGATGCACGCTTGTTGCTTTACCAGATAAGGTAAAGAGACTAAAATGACTGGGTTATGGAGACGCCCCGCTTGCTGACGTCATAATTAATCGCCGTGCTAAAGACCTAGGGTATTCTGCGTGCCTCTGCCGGACTTCTTAGCGCTAAACTTCCCGCCGCCGCGCCCCGCCAGCTCGCCGTGCAGAGGGTCGGAAGAGATGCTAGGCCATTGTTACCCTGCGAGATAGCCAGGTAAGGGAGTAGTAAATTGGCTAACGCCCAGTAGGTGAGGTGCTCCCACAGGCAACCACTAACGCCACACCAAGATTTAGGCGCTCTCTGACGTCACGCCAAGTCTTAGGGGTATATTTCCCGCCGCGCCCCGCCAGCTCGCCGTGCAGAGGGTTGGAAGGGATGCACGGCCTTTGTTACCTTGCGAGATAGCCAGGTGAGATAATGGTGACACCCCTATATGCTGACGTCACGCCACATCACCGCGCAAAAGGTAGGGACAGACCATAAAGTTAATATTCCTTCGGAATAGAGCAACAATCACGAGCTGTCAAACGAAACCAAAAATGAGATGTCATTTGTGTGTGTAAATATAAATCCCACCAAAAACATTCTGTAAAAAACTAGCCAAGTCTCGATGGAGCTGCTTGTTTATCTCTAAAAAGTAATGAAATCTAGACAAAGTCGTGCCAAGTCTATGGTNAAATCTTTGCTTACAACTTAAATTAATGTTTAAAGAACATAATTATCACACTTAGTGCTTAAAATTCTAAGCGCATTCACAAAAATAAAGCTAAAGTTTGGAGGTGTCGATTTCAATAAATTTACCTGTGAAATGAATATTTTGCGGGATTATTTCTCTGGTTTACATCACAATCAAGGACGGAACAGGTCACCATTGTATTACAATAAAAAAATTCCAAAACTATACAGGATTTTACGAAATTTTTAGAAAAAACTGTGATTTGAAATTCTGCTTTGTGCCTCTATGTGTCACTGCCTGTCAAATCTTTTGCAAAAATGGTTCTATTGACGTGACGATGATAGCATCACACATCTCTTTTTATCACACAGGGTTGCAGATAGTGACATCTCGCTCGCTCATTCTTTGTTACTCTATTCCGAAGGAATATTAACTTTATGGGACAGACGCGCTTGCTGCCTACAGCAAAGCTGCTGCTTCGCCAGGTGATAGATTAGAACGACTGGGGATATGGAGGCACCCTAACCGATGACGTCACACTAAATTACCGTGCAGAAAGTAGGCCGCTGCTACCCTGTGAGATAGCCAGGTGAGACATTAGTGCCCCTGGGGTAGTGAAAAACCCCTCCTGTTGAAGTGTCTATACCCAAAAACCGCGCAGTGACAGTAAGACATTAGCACGAATGGGGTAAGAGACACTCCACCTGCTGACGTCACGCTCAATCACGGAGAAGAGAGCCCGCTGCGCCTTGCAAGATTGTTATTCATACGGTGGGTTAGTGACGTCACCCTAGGAGTAAACTTTCCGCCCTCCGCGTCCGCCAACACGCCCCACCAGATCACTGCAGAGGTTGGGGAGAGATGCTAGGCCGTTGCTGCCTTGCGAGATAGCCAGGTGAGACTGGGGTCCATAACGTGATGTCAGTAGGTGAGGTGCTCCCACAGGCAACCACTAACGTCACACCAAGATTTAGGCGTTCACTAACGTCACGCCAAGTCTTAGGAGTAAACTTCCCGCCACCGCGCCCGCCGCGCCTGCTAACTCGCCCCGCTAGATCACTGTGCAGAGGGTCGGGAGGGACGCTAGGCCGCTGCTGCCGTGTGAGATAATGGTGACACCCCTACCTTCTGACGTCACGCCACATCACCGCGCAAAGGGTAGGGACAGACGCGCGATCGCTGCTGATCGGTACGGATGCACCCTAACCGATGACGTCACACTAAATTACCATGCAGAGCAGACAGAAATGCACTTCCGTTGCTGCCTTGCGAGATAGTCAGGTGATAGATTAAAGCGACTAGAGTATGACAACACTCCACCTGGCTGTCCGTACACAAGGTGGAGAAAGACGCGCGCCTGTTGTTACCTATGGAATCGCTAAGTAAGTAAGGGAGTATTTTAGAACACTTGGGTTATAGGAGCACCTCACCTGCTGATGTCACGCAAAATCACCGAGCAGAAGGTTGAGATAGATGCGCGCCTGTTGCTTTGTCAGGTAAGAGATTAAAACGACTGGGGTATGGAGATACCCCGTCTGTTGACGTCACGCTAAATCATCATGTTAGGACCTAGGTGTATTCTGCGTGCCTCTCCCGGACTTCCTAGCATTAAACTTCCCGCCGCCCGACATCACGCAAAATTACCGTGCAGCAGTTGGTAAAAGATACGCGTTCTCGTAGAAACTACTAATTAGGGCTATCGTTTTTATTCTTAACAGTTGGCACCCCTGGCGATTGACAGGAACTTACTCTACAGTGGCGCCATCTTGATGAGTGCAAATGCGATTGTCCTCCTACCACTTTCGCGCTCACCAGTTGGTGCCACTGTCTTCGCTACTAGTAAGTGACAGGACCTTACTCTACAGTGGCGCCATCTTGTTGAGTGCAAATGCGATTGTCCTCCTACCACTTTCGCGCTCACCAGTTGGTGCCACTGTCTTCGCTACTAGTAAGTGACAGGACCTTACTCTACAGTGGCGCTAACTGGCGAGCGCTAAAACGGTAGCCCTGATTATTTGAATGTTTTACAGTAGCCATACATTATCAACCTTATTTCCAGATACCAGCACATGTTCACGAACAACCAGCAAGGCAGCCAGCCGCGCGCGGAGCCGCGTCCCGCGCCCGCGCCCGCGCCCCCCGCGGAACCCGCGGCCTCCCGTCTCCGAGCGTTGGCCCAGCGCATCCCGAGGCTAAATGCGCACGCGCCCGACTTCAGGGTTATACCTTGGTAAGTTCAACTTCAGTAAGGCGGTTATCACACTGCGCCGCGCTCCGCCGCGGAGCGCGTGATTTTCATATAAAAAATCACGCGCACGGACGCGTCGTCAGTGTGAAGTGCCGCGCGTGTTTTCTATACAAACTGAGGTACTTGCATACAATGATTAAATCTGTCGCCCCGCGCTCCGCGGCGGAGCGCGGCGCAGTGTGATAACCGCCTAAGGTCAGAGTAAATACAAACGAGTAGGTCATCTTCATAGAGGCGCACGGGCGCGGTTTGTGTGTGAGCGCCACACAAACCGCGCCACACTGACAAATACGATGCGCACGCACACACTGACAACATTTAGCGGGGATTAGCGAGGAGTCAGTGTGTGCGTGCGCGCCGCATACGTATATTGGCGCGCTCACACGACCTTCACGCGGCCGTGCGTTTCTATGAAGATGACCTACTCATTTGTATTTACTCTGGTAAGGTGGACCGACGATCTGGTAAAGGTCGCTGGAGGTGCCTGGATACGAGCGGCGCAAGACTAGTCTTTGTGGAAATCCTTGGGGGTGGCCTTTGTCCAGCAGTGGACGTCTTTTAGCTGAAACAAACGAACGAAGTTCAAGTTAACTGTATAGTTAAAAGATTTTGAAACATCAAATGGCGAAGATCGGAAATAGTAATCGGCATTGATGGCAGCGCCCTCCTGCAAATGACATTTCAGTGTTTTCCAACGTGGAGAAAATCGGAACCAGCGATCCGGTTTTCTCCACGTTGGAACGTTGGTTAAAATTAACTGTGCATTTTACATTCATAGACTATAAAATCATTTCAGCAAACGCTTCGCCCTAGGTTTTCTACAATGATTGGTCCTGCTCGCAATGTAAGTGCTTCTCTCACGGCCTTCATCAGATCGTCGATCCACCACACATTGTATTATCATACAGCTAAAGAACTGATAGGTGATATAGTATCTTCTGTTACAACCCGATCCAGAGCCCCGATTACGGTAATTTTTAACGTCAACAATCCAGACACGCTTCTCGATTCTGCGATACGATTGGTCGTTCAACAGCGCACGTCAGCTGTTTTGACCAATCGTATTGCAGAATCAGAAACGCATCAGAAACGCGTCTGGATTGTAGACGTTAAAAGTTACCGTAATCGGGGCTCTGTTAACCTGGCAGCTGTGACGTCACATCGACGCTCTGGCATGGATGGAGCAAACGCGGGAAGGTATACAGTTAGCTCGATCGGGTAGCAGGTACTTCCTCCAGAAGTGATTTAGCCAAAAGTGACAAGATCAAACTTGCTTGTTGCAATTTCTTACAGAACTTGCGCGCAAAAAGCAAATCTAGTATGTAAATCATCAAACTTCTAACGCTCGTAACTCAGTTCAGACTGAGTTTAGAGGTATACTTGTCATAGTAAGTTTGGTTTATTACACTATTTTGTAATCAAAAAACAAAGTTTGGTCGATGGCCGCGCGAAAAAAAAAAGACGCCACCTTCCATACAAAATCTGGCATTGCCATTTAGAGTTACAAAATTATAATCTTACTATCAATGGAATATTCTATTTACTTATTTATTCTCCCCAGGTCAGAAAGGAATAGAATCGACAGGTCATGGGATAACGAGTACGTTCTTCGCTTACCCGTACTGGATTTGTCTCGAGCGCGCGCGCCCGCGGCCCCTAGACGCGACCCACGCCCCGAAGGCGAAGAACAGTGACAGTGACGTTGACAGTGCGGTGACAGTGACAGCACAGTGATAAATGGCAGTTGAAATGAAATGAACTCAAACCCAAGATTTATATTTTCATCTACCGGTACCGTGTAATGGCTATGCTCACGTTACATAGGCAAACGTGGAAAAATAATACCCATAGAGGAGAAGAAGAAGAAATGTTGATAGGTCTTTGCCAGAGAAATTTTAATGGCCCAGTTACACTATGCGTGAACTTGATCAAATCGGATAGTGTAGACCAGTGTTTTTCAACCTTTTTCATGACGCGACCCCCCTAGCATGAAAAATTTTTTGCGACCCACCGACCGTTCGCTTTTTTTCATGCCTTTTACGAAGATGTTGTAGGGACCGAATTCTTCAATCTATACAACATTTATGCTTTTGCATAATTACATTTCGGATAAATCTAGCTTTAAAACTTTACTGTTTTTTTTACTGAGATAGTTTTTACGACCTCTCGCGACCCCCCTATAGAGGCCCACAGGTTAAAAACACAGTTGTAGACACACAGTTCCGTGCGTGTATTTACGCTTGTATTCGATCAAGTTCGCGCATAGTGTAACCGCGCCATAACTCTATACGCTTCAGTGGGACAGTCCATCAAATCTGAAATGAATTGACTCTCCAGTTGTACTTTTTAACAAACCCTTTCAATAATAGCTATACAACTACTACAGAATATTGGACCAATAGTAACCAAGGCACTTAATATTCATAAGTTTACTTTAAAATAAAATTTTACTTTACAAAATTAATCTTAATTTGAAATGAATTAAATTTTAATAAAATATTGAATTATATTTAAGTAAGCTATCTGTGAATCAGATCTTGGAAATTATGATAAAATAATTATTTCCATCTATGTATATAAAATAAAAAATGGCCTACACTAAAAATGTGTTTTAAAAGGTTTGAGCACTACAGTTTTATCTTCTTAATGAAAAAAATATTGTAAAGTATATTATAGGTCTTAAAATCATGTCACCTTAGCCCATATATGCCCAAAACTATTTAAATCTCAGATTTTTATGTAATTTGGCATATTTACAGTTTCTTTTATAGGCATCGCAAGAGAACTTGTACCATTTGGTCGTTTTCGTGCCTCTGGGCATATATGGGTTAGTATCAACCCCTATGCTTATAAACAATGTGTCTGTAATATTTTTCTGGCTTTCTTCTCACTCATATTATTTTTATCTGTACTTATTAAACACCTAGGACAATGTTTGTAAGTCAAAGGGTATATTTTTGCCAAGTAAACATAATTTAAGTAGGTAATTATTGTGCACTAGAATTTAACACACATAGAAATGCATTTGGCATGTTTGTACATAATTATCTAATATTATTACTGTTTGAGTAATCTACAAGGTATTTTATTATTTCGCCAAATAATGTGATTGTTGTACAAAAACCCCGTTAATCACAGCATCGAAATATCACTGCCACTATATGCAAATTGATAGGAATAAGATATTGTTATTAATTTGAACCCTTAAGCTAAGTTATAAAGTTTCATTTGCATTGGGAACTAACGTTAAAAGGGCACCATCACACTCAATACTTGTATGATTGATTTGGTCCTATATGGGATTATAATTACGAGTAGAACTGTGTTAAATCTTCTTAAGTGTGAAGAAATAAAAAACAGCCAATTTAATGACCTAAGGTGATAAAAATATTAAGTGTGCGAGAGCCCTAACCCCTTGTTATAAGCTGTACCAAGTCTGATGTAACTTTTACGCTAGTAAAGTAGGATAAATGTCGGCATTACTACTGATAAGTTGTTTTTGGTTGTAGTGCGGTTATTTTTTTATTCTTTTAAGTAGCCTTAAAGCCTAGTCTACATTACGGCACATTTATTGTATCGCAACAACGTTTCGGTATAAGGTATCGCCACTGTAAAATAGAATGGTTTAAAAGTTCGAGAAGTCACCGCGATCTAAACTACAATCAGCGCCATCTGTTGAGCAAAACTTAACACGTATTAGTTACAAGACCACGGAAAAAGTCAATCACGAGGGAACAGTGTAGTGTAGTTTTTAGGCGTGTACCTTGTACCGACGATATAAAGACTATATTGGCTTGCAACAAGTTCGCGTGCGATTGCCGTCTACCCTCGTCTTGCGTATTTTTTATTTTGTATATTTTTATTATTTAGTTGATTAATGCAACTATTCTTTATTTTTGTAGGCATTGTAAACTTAATTGGTATCGTCCATTTTGTAAATGTGTTAGTAAGTATGTTTTATCGGACCGCCGATAGATGTCTTTTTTGTGTTTGTATTAGGAATTAGAACTTATATTCGTCGATTGTATGGAATCCTTTATGTGAATCTTTGCGAGTAACTACCCAATTTTATTAATGCTTGCTTAATATGTATCTATGTTATATTACAGGGTAAATATGTTTTGTATTGATTTTAAATAGTTCTGTCTGATATATTAGTGCCATCAATTTGTTTTCTTCTTATACATATATTCAAATATGAAGTATAAGATATTATTGGCTAATTATTGTGTATCTTTTACGACCACAAAAAAGACGTATAAATGTGTATAAAATCTTTATTGAGGAATTAATTGAGTTCTGATTAGCGTAGTTAGTTTAAGTAGGACAATTTGTTATTTGTTAGCTGCATCCTGTGGTATGGTATGTACTAATAAAAATGTATTTTAATGAATTCACTTTCTTATTATTCCACAAAATATTTCCAAAACCTGACACTTAAAACTCAATGAAGGCTAATGCCGGCTGTTGAGTAATTTCAATCGTCAGATATGCCAACAGTTATGTATAAAAATTAAAGCCTTCATTAAAAAAGCATAGATGTAAAAATTCTTGCTTCTTCAGAATTTTCATTCTAGTTTAAATAAGAAATGTTTATCTATAATTTGTATCCTTCAAATCCACAAAAGTCCGCAAGAAAACTTCCCGAGCTGAGGCCACATTAATATTAAAATTAGTTTTCATTTAAGCAGGGTCGACGCTGAAAAATTGAGCAGACGGGCATTTCATTTTGTGATATTACCCCAGACTGTTGCATGAATACAAATAGTTTCCTCTTGGAAAACTCGCGGAAAGCATATTTCATCAACACCTTTCGTAAAAAATGGGACGGTTGTATAATGATAAATGATCCTAATTACTGTAGAAGATTTTAGCTAAAAGCCTTGAATAAAATCTATTATGATTATGATTTATCAATTTTATTTTTTTGAAATTAAAAGTTAGTCACTCTCTGGCTAATGTGCAAACAGCACGAAGCCATATTGAAAAAAAAAAACCTATATTCGAAATTCAAATCAAGCTACCATTGATTTATGACGCCAAGAAAAAAAGACTTAGTTCGAAATTCGAATTTGGAATCACGTGACATACGCGGTCAATGACGCCCGCTCGTACAATAAACTTTTTTTACTGTCAAACTGTGTGTTTCGCGCCAGATAGGTATTTGTAAAAAGACTAAAAAGTGAAAAATAAGTGTATTTGTGGCGATGAACTTAGTTAAAATACTGATTTCTAAAAACTTTAGGGCCTTGTGAAAGTGAATGTGTGTCGCGCGGCTCGCGCCCACCAGTGGATGTTTTTTTTCAATAGACCGACAATCTAGTGAAAGTTGCGAGAAGCTCCTAGATGCAGGCATTGCAGCACCGGTCGTTGTAGATGACTTCGAGCTGCCAAGTAAGTGCCCCTTTAATTTCTAGCCAAGATCTGACACTTAGGCTGAGTTGCACCAACTTACTTTAACCCCAACAATAACAATGACCGGTGTTTTTTGTATGGAGTTTGACATATTTTTGACGTTTAAGTTAAAGCAAGTTGGTGCGACCCAGCCTCAGTGTTCAGCCGGACACAAAGTGATCGCTTTACCTACGTTTTCTTCATACGTATTTTCCGTATCTAATCATATTTCATTAAGAACTTACGACACTTTTTAAGTTGACTCTGTATGAAATGATTAAGAGTTACGTCCGTTTTTTATATTATTACTATTAAAAGATGGGCATAATGACAAATTATTATTGAGGTAAGTACCTATTTACCCTTACACTTTCTACTTTTATCCATCTGTTTTTAATTGCCATAATTTTGCCATAGAATCCTTTGGTGTTTGGCGTTAGTTGGCGCTACGAAATTGATGTGAACTTATTCAAATGCCTTTGCTTTCTTGTAAACCCTGTTTTCATTCGTCACGTGTCTCGCATGTAATATGTTAGGTCATTTACCTTCCTTACGGCCACATAAAATAAACAATCGATGGGTTATCCCCAGGTTGCCATAAAACGAAAGAATAGACGCTCGTTGGGATTTTTAAATTTTACGATCTCGATTTAAATTCGTTTTTATGATTGTTTTAGTGCGCACTTTATACCTGCTCCAATATTCAGCGGGTTAATCGACCGTGCTGAATAAATAACGTTATGCATTTGTAATTATAGCATAATAACATTATCATCTTCAGTAAACATCAGGTGCGATTGTGGTCAAATACCTGCCTTGTTGTGCATAAAAAAAAATGTATTAGGTAAGAAACTTCATTTTTAGATGAATGAATGAACTGCGATATAAGCACGTTCGCTTAGTGCAGAGACAGCTCGACTAAAACTGTGGGTCTAGACAAAGTGCAAATTATAATAGCAAACCAGTCGAAAAGTGGTCGAAAAGCCCCTTTTTTGTATGGAGTTTTGACGGATTCGATTTTCGATTCGATCAAAAAGTGAGTTTTGTCTAGGGGGGCTGTAGCTGTACATTCGTCATCTTTAATAAATAAACACTTTTTTACTTTAACTTTTATTGTCATAAAGCTCAAAGTCGTTATTTAGAGTTTTTCGTTATTTATTTATTTATTAAATCTTTAGTTTCGTTTATTAAGGGGAGCTGGTATTGTAGATAATTTTGTGCTGAAACGAACAAAAATGTTCTTAGCTATCAAAATAACTTCACTTTTGGCCTAAGCAGAGTTCAAATCAACCTGTCGCTCTGTACTCACAGCTTAAATTAGTATGGCAAATAAATTGAATTATTAAATTAATAAGTCAAATAATAATAAAGTTAATTCTGGACGACTTGATTAAGTTGTTTATCGAGAACTGGAACGTGGATTATCTCATCTCACTTAACCCCCAAAAATAAATAATTTTACTACAAAATTTTATTTATTATCGAACATTCTGGTTATTAAAAAAAGAGTATAAATCCACAAAACGTACGCTGTTCCTTTTTACTGAGGGGGGCGCCGGGTATCGATCCCGGGACCCTCGCACGAATGCGAGCGCTCTCCCGTCTGAGCTACGCCCCCGACGAACTGAGTGGCGAATAACTCGGCCAGTATCTGACGCCCGTAATCAAAAACATTACTATGAGGTCTCACAGTGCGCGTGGACGCACAGGGTCGCACGCGAACCAATCACAGAGATCTATTCAACGCTGTGCGTTCGATTTGCTGCGTCACTTAAGCAAGTATCGTTTGTGAATACGGGTGTGAGTTTCTAGGCAATTTTTGATTTAGTATGTTAAAATAAATAAATAAATAATAACAAATCTTTGGACAATTTCACACAGCGCCAGCTAGCCCCAAAGTAAGCAACTTAATGCTTGTGTTATGGGTGCTAGCTTAACGGATATACTACTTATATACTTTTTTTTTAAATACATAAATATTATACAAAGTCACACCCAGACCCGTCACAGAAATTAAAATTCATCATTTCAATTTCTGCCCGGCCGGGAATCGAACCCGGGACCTCTCGGCATAGTAGTCCGTTCTGAACCATTACACCAAACGGCCGACGATCACATTTTATTATTTTTTTATGGGGGACTTAATGCCTTTAGGTATTCTCTACTATTCGACAGACAAAGTATGGTAGTGTAATAGTTAAGTCAGTGGATAGTTACTTTACATACCGTAATATAAAAGGTAAGGACATTTATTCTAATATTGCAAAAAATAAGTTATTATCATTTTTGTTTCTTGTAAATTCAGTAACATGAAATAAATCAAATCTCATATTATGTAATAACGAAGTAAATATTCAATACCTACATCAACAAAAGAATATTCTCATATGGTAATAAAGCCAATCCTACAGGATGCATGTCGTAATACGTTTTATAGAAAACGTTATTTGCGTATTAGCATATTAGGCGCCGGGGGCGACGCTTCTCTCAAGTGGCTTCATGCACAGGGTGCCCTTTTACATATTTCATTTATTGGTTGAATGTGTTAATTTAAGGAACTATCGATCTGAAAAAATAAGGCTGTTTGTTTCTATGATAAAGATAAATAAATGAAAAATATGGTAAAGGCCACAATCTATCAAGCAAGGCCTTACGATCGCTGTACAACTAATAGGAGTAGATCATAAATGAAAAATGTTGCGAAAACGGTAAAAAAATATTTTAACTATTTTCACGTGGACGAAGTCGCGGGCAGAGTTACTCGTAGTTATTAAATAAATTCAGTGATTTTTATTTTAATAACTACAGTTGATTGAGTTTGTTAAATCTCATGCCTAATAATAAAAAAAAAAAAATAAGTCTCATGCCTAAAAATAAAAAAATAATTTCGTAGCGATCAATAGGCATAAAAATAATGTATGCCTATAATATTGATCGCTACGAAATTGCTACGCGTCTACGAAATTGTAGTATGCCAACCGTAGTGATTTTATTCGTATATTTCGTAGTCAGCTACGGTAGCGTAGCTGCTACGAGAAGTGTGAATTAGACAATGTAGCATTTTGTTTTTTAAAACAGTGTTACAACTTTTTTCGAAACTTTTTTCAAATCATTATACATAAAAAACTGTTGTAGGTGCATTATGTGTTCCAGTTTTAGGGTTCGTGTTGCTTTTGTTACACTCTGTATATAAATTTCATGTATGAAAGATCGCAGAGCAAGAGGCACAAAGCGAACAGAATATAAATCACTCAGAAGTCATCGAGTCGTAAATTATTTATGCCATTTTTACATCCTACGTC